CAGTCACTCTGAGTTGTTTGAAATGGGCCCTTCTGGGAGATTTGTAGAGGGTCTGCGAGGAGGATGTCAGACAATCAGTGAATGTTTGTTGAATTACAAGACTTACTTTCTTTGAAAGCTTTGTGCCAATGAGAGACAAGACACACGACTGAGAGCTCATCTCTGCACCCGGGGGCCGTAAACCCACAAACAGCTGCTGATGCTGCACTGACACCTGAGGTCAGTGACTTTGGGCTGTGGAGTGAATGACTGACCTTAAGATCCTCAGTGATTCCCCAGGAGCTGAGAGAAGGTTCCTGGGCCTAAGGGGCTTTGAAACGCAGTTGGTGCTCGTTCTAAAGATAACAGAGACCCGTCCATGTTGCCAGCTTTCCTCTTTGCTTCCCTCAATTTAGAGGCTTTGGAAATGTGAGCACCAGCCTCCTTTGAGGGCCCAATGGTCTCCTTTATTTTCCAAATGTCCCTGGAAACTCTGTTCCTGGCACTGTCTCAAATTCCTTTGCAGGTCCCAAACTACTCCTAGTCATTCAGAGGCACTTCTCCACCAACCTTCCATGTGTAAGAACACACACACACACACACACACACACACACACACACACACTTCCCTATCAACCCTCCACAGGTACATACACATTCATACATATGTAAACCGTTATGGGTTTTCCTGATTATAAAGTAATACAGATGTGCACTACTAGATATCAAACCATAACATAAAGCTACAGTAATTAAAATAGGTGGTTTGGGTACAAGAATATATCAAGAGATCTAAAGAACAAAAGAGATAGGCTGATATTGGGGCGCCTGGGTGGCTCGATTGGTTAAGCATCTGACTTCGGCTCAGGTCATGATCTCACGGTCCGTGAGTTCGAGCCCCACGTCGGGCTCTGTGCTGACAGCTCAGAGCCTGGAGTCTGTTTCAGATTCTGTGTCTCCCTCTCTCTGACCCTCCCCCATTCATGCTCTGTCTCTCTCTGTCTCAAAAATAAATAAATGTTAAAAAAAAAAATTTAAGAGATAGGCTGATATCAGATTAATGGCCTACGGGATTTAGTTTAACATAAAGAGGGGATTGAAAGATGACATTTCTCAACTGAATTGAGAAAAAAAATCCCAATTACTCATCACAGACAAAACTACATTTTAGTCAGATTAAAGGTTTAAATGTGAAAAAGGATTTACTATCCTAAGAAAATATAAGAGAACATTTTTGTGATCCTTGGAAAGGAACAGCGTCCTCCAGCATGAAACCAAAGCAGGAAGACAAAGTCAACAATCTTGCAAAAAACAAAAACCAAAAAACAAGCCCCCCCCAAAAAAAACGTGAAACAACTGCATGGAAAAAGACATCTTAAAAGAGAAAAGAGGGGCACCGGGGTGGCTCAGTCGGTTAACCATCTGGCTCTTGATTTTGGCTCAAGTCATGACCTCACGGTTGTGAGCTCAATTAAAAAAAAAATTGCGGGGGCGCCTGGGTGGCGCAGTCGGTTAAGCGTCCGACTTCAGCCAGGTCACGATCTCGCGCTCCGTGAGTTCGAGCCCCGCGTCGGGCTCTGGGCTGATGGCTCAGAGCCTGGAGCCTGTTTCCGACTCTGTGTCTCCCTCTCTCTCTGCCCCTCCCCCGTTCATGCTCTGTCTCTCTCTGTCCCCAAAATAAATAAAACGTTGAAAAAAAAAATTAAAAAAAAAATTGCGTAGCAATATAGAAGAATGTGACAGCAAAGCGTGAAAAATCAAAATATATA